TCTGCGTGCATTTGTGTTGGCTGAGTAAGCAAAATGACAGAGGCTGGCTGTGAGAGTGGAAAGGTGATTTACATGAGTGTCATAGCGCTGTGCAGTAATAAAACACAGAGTGTTGGACACGCATTATATTGTACAATTATATAATTATAAACAGTATAATTGGAGGCAGTTGAGCTTGAATGCAGCAGGCTGTTATTTAGCAATCATCTCTTTCAAGGCTCATTAAACGCAGATTTATACACAAAATAAAAGCTTTGCTCTGTAAAGGCTAAATATGTAGTGACATTTAGTCACCAAAATATAATACACAGATCTAAAGCTGTCAACATCTATGATGGATTTAGTCAGTGCATATAAATGAGTGTGTATGACAATACTGAGGCCTTTGCCTTTATTTAAGGTATTATTGCTGTGATTTCATTTGTATGTCCATTTTGAAAGTGGAAGAGCCAGCATATACACATCTATGGTCTGGGATTTTGAAATCTGACACACAGCAACTCTCCACAGATGCCGAAAGTGTTTAGAAATGTAGAGAAGATTTCTTCAATATGATATTTTTCATGTAAGTTAAGCCTTCAAAATTTTATACTTCCCAATGCATAGTCTCACTAGGGAGAAAACAAACAAATCAGTGTATTTTGTTGTTGCTCTCTGAAATCATTTAGGGTTCTTTTTAAAGTATTTCATTATCTTACCTGAAGTAAAATAAGCTCTATTTATTTAAAAGATTAAAAAAGAGAGAAGAATTCTTTTTTGGTCTTCTCCTGCAGTCTTATGAGTTAAGAGGAAAAGACAGACAAAAGGAGGAACCTGCTCAGGTGCAGAATTCTGCAACGTGCAGTGTTACACAGACCGACCCAAACCAAAGCTGCTTGCCAGGAGTTTGAAACCTAATGCAATATTTAGACACTTACATGTTGGTTTTGACCCTCTAATTGTGGAACATCCAGAGCTCCCACTGACTTATAACCGTGACTGTGAAATGCCAGTATAAATGGCATTATATCCATATATAATATAACGGCCTTATATCCGAGTATGGCTCTGTTAGAACGCGGCTCGGCGCTAAATAGTCTGATCCGTATGTACTTGATCCACTTTTGCATTTGTTTTCAATACACAAACCATTTATTTTCCCCCCAAATTCCGTTTTAGGGGGAAATACAAAGTTGTGAACATTAACATTGCCTTTTTCGTCTGCTCTGCAAAGTCCCCTCCTTTCAAATAACTTGCCAATAGTGTCCTGGTGTGCTGGTTAAAAGGACAAGAAGTAATTCTTACCTAGTGCTTTATAGCTTTTCATGGCTAGTAAAAATTTTTCTTTCACTTGCTCACAACAGCAAAGCGCGTTGGCCTGTATGGCGTACAAAAAACTAAGGTTAAACCCCGGTCCAAAACTCATCTTTCCACATGTGCTTTGGTTTTTGAGTTACTGGCTCCTGATGTCTCACTGCTGTGAAGCAGTCCTTGCGATGTCACAGGCTTTTATCAGCCTCTGCACTGGGACAAAAGAGTAAGGAGCCTCATGGATTATGGGGGCGGCCACCATAGACCCCCCAGGGCCTTTGGCTCATGTGGCTTCCGATGTCTGTCTGTCTGTCCTCTCTGTGAGATGGAAGAGGATGTCCTCCAGGACTTATTTTTGCCCAGCGTGGGTCAGCATGACAAGCACTTTGGGAAGTTCAACGCAGGGGCAAACCGTTGGCTTCGTGAGCCCGTGCCTTTAGGGGTATCTGAACTCGAGCCGTTAGCGGGTACCTGAACTCGAGCCACTTCCTCATACTTGAAACAGCAAAAGAGTGTGTTCTCAGACACCAAATAATGATTTATAGAGATAATTGAGGGGTTTAAGTTATTATTTGAGAGAGTACAAAACAGTGAAATACAGTGTAAATGTAAAACAACTTTAAAAGGCCAGCAAGGTAGCACTGCGTGCTGGATAGTCCGTATTACACGCTGAGCAAATGACTTTTTCTGGAAGCTCCAGTTCTTTTAAGAAATTGGATGTAGGTTTGTGTGACTTGTGTATTTTTCTGATTGTATTCATATCAACTTGCATGTAACATTTCTCTTAAATCTAGCCCAAAGATAAAATGCTTCCTCTTGTAAACGGCTGTACAGCAGACAAGCAGAGCACTGAACGCATCTAACAGCATTCAGGCAAGCAACTTTCCCCTGCTTAATATTGTGTAAGGGCATGCCACGTGCTGAAAGAAGGCAGGCTGCCTGCAAGCGCGAGAAGGTTGAGTCGTGAACTCCATCCTGGTCTAAAATGGAGATGATATTTCAGTTTTGCATATGAAGAAAGTACGAGTTTTTAAATTAAAAGGAGGAAAATGTTGTGTATTAAACTTTGTGAATTTTCAAGATAATTTTTTATCTAGATGGCTATATGGGCATCAATGATTGAATAGGATGTTAATGTGTTTTCCCTTATATTGAGGTTGACTCTTAAGCCTTTGTCTAATCAAAAGCGCAAACAAAGATAAAGGCACTGTAGAGGGAAAAAGTAGTAGTATTCCTAAAGATATTTTGGATCTGAAAGCCTAAAAAATATTTTCCTTGAGTCTCTTGCAAGTACATGTTAAAGATGAAGTAGATGTATCAGTGCTACCGTTGTGATTAGCACTGCTCCTCTCCTTCCAAAATGGTCCGAGATCCCGGTAGGAAGAGAAGAGGTGGTGAAAGCCGGTGTCAGCTGTGGCCGTGCCCAGGGCAGAGCCTGTCCAAACCGCGCTGCTCCCCTGGAGAAGCCTCCAAAGTCCATGGGAGTTTTGGACCTTTAGGGAAAACTGGATAGAGAGCCTGTGGAGAGCTGCAGGGGGAAGCAAAGGAGCTGGTTTAATTAATAATTAATAAGATAGAGGTTTGAATGCGCCCAAGGATCTAATGAAAACGTTACTTCAAAGTTATTTGAGCCACAGAACTAAGGAAATGGCAAAGAGTGACATAATCTCATATTTTTGGGGAGGGTGGGAATCAGCTATAGATTATTTGTGTAAAAGCAGTGGATACATTTAAGCTAAGCTGCAGAGCGTTGTCCAGTTGGCTGCAGGCTCATCTGTTTCAGTGACTGAGGTGCTCCCCAGCAAAACGGCTTTAATACCAAACAGCTGTGACAAATCAGCAGAAAAGGACTAGCTGTGTGCAACACCCTTTATCTGAAGGTGTGCCACACTTGTGTGGCAAGGCAGTTTACTTGCAGGCAGTATCAGGACCTTGATGATCTTTGGCTGGTCCATTAGAAATCTTTTGCTCCCCTCGCTGCTTATGCAGTTCTGCATCTGCTTCCTCTGTATACCGTACAAGGCTGCTGTGACAGCATCAGCCTTGAGGAGATTTTCTGATGCATCATGAAACGAGATTGTTGGGTTTTTTTTCCCCTGGTGGCATGTATAACGGTGTTAATTTTTACTTTCTTGTTTGCACTTGGCTGTGTGTCGACCTCCTCAAAAACCAAAACCGGACAAAAATACTAAAACAACCCTGTCCTGCAATCCTCCCAAATAACTGCTTTTTTTCATCTTTTATAGTCTAAAAAATGGAAGCTTGTAATCCCACACAAGGGTACGGGGAGGGGGAAGGGGCCTACAGGATATCTTTTGCCCCTCGGGCTCTGCAGTAACTCCCTATGAAGTTAATGGAAGTTTTACCACTTACTCAAGTGAAAATGCTTACTGACCTCATGCTGATCTAGTGGAGTTGTCTACACCCCTATGACCGGGAGAAAAACAGGAAGGCCAGGGTTAATATGGATTGAGTAAAAAATCAATGGCTGCTCTTGTACATTAAACTCTCTTGCCTTGAGGATCTTTTCTTCGCTTACCCTGAAATCAGATCTCTTATGCCACTGAAGTGGAGTCGGTGAAACAGTTTAAGGCAGTAATGGTGGATTCGTGTTTTGTGCTTTGCCTCAGAAGCGAGGAATATAGTAAGTTCTGCATCTTCCGGTGTACAGGCTGTGTTGTGTGTGTTGTATGATCTCAGATGCGTGGCCAGTTAATCAAAATTCATCCTACATTGCCATAGGCTAGTAGAAAGTTGAAACTTGACCTGTTTTCTTTTTAAGAACAGTATTTAGCAGTAGCAGTGTTTTTTTATATACACTAATGAGTGCTGGGCACCTTTGACTGTTGCTTGCTATCTCGGGAACGCAGGCTTCTAGAGAGCCTGGACATTTCAGCAAAACTACTCCAAATCCAAGTTCTACAGTATGAGTATAAGAAATATAAATACTTGACAGCTGTGATTTTCAGAAGGCTAATTTTATAAAGATGCAATAATGTAATGGTACAACAGGCAGAAAACAGCCCTCTCATCTCCCTGGCAGTCTATTTCATTTCTTTCTGTGCCCCCCTCTCAGTTTCTCTCTGTGAGAGAAGTAACTTGCGGAAAGGAACAAAGATGAAAACTGGAAGTAAAGGAAGAAGAGGAGCCATCAGCTTACCGTGTTGAACCTGGTTGCTCCTTGAATATTCCTGTTAGGATCAGCCCTTCTCGCTCGGGAGTTGGATAAACCATTGCAGTTGCAATAAGCTATAAGCCTTGTAGCACATGCTGTTCTGTGCCTGAATAGTCATAGGGTCAATAATAATTTTACAATATTTTCCTTTCTGGTCTTTGCAGATTTTTTCAATTTTTTTCAGAATTTGGGTGCACATTTTCTAAAATGAATGATCTTCCAGGTGTATTTTGAAAATCTTCCTGAGATACCTCTTAGAACCAAATGCTGTGACCCCAGAGATGTTAAACCTCAGTTAACACTGGGTATAAAGAGAAAGGCAAGTCAGGCCCCTGATTGGGGAATCTAAGTTATCTGTAACTATTTCAATTGTGATGGAAAGCAGAAAAAAAGCTTTAGGATGCTAAGTTCTCTGTGGTGACAAAACAATTTTCTTCTCCCCCCTCCCCCCAAAAGGACTGAGATTTGCTAGCCTGCTGTAAAAGGAAGACAAGATAATATCATGGGTGAAAACGTCTTGCTTTATATCCAACAGGTCAAGTTTTCTTCAGATTGAGACAGAATTGTGGCTCATGGACATCTGATGTTGTGATAGGTAAGTTGATTTTGACCTGTTTTATTACCCCGCTGCAACATGACAAATCCTGATCTTGATTTTAAACTAGTGTAAATGCAGAGGAGAGGCCTTATCTTACTTATTTTGGGTTTACGCTGGTGGAACTGAGAAGAAAATTTTCTTCCTCTCCCTCTCCCCCAAGTGAGACTTCTTCAGAAACAAGGTTTAAATCATTATTAATGAACTTTCTATTCAGAAATGATAAGCAGCAGGAGATAGATAAACAAAAGAAGTAGCTTAAATCTACCTGAATCTGCTGAAATAAGGTCGTAAGACAGCGTGAAAAAGGATGTTTGGGCTTATCTGGAGACAGCTCAGAAAATCTACTATAATTGATACACAGTCCCCATGCTCATAGGGTGCTAACTGACTGTTTGCATATAGTGATACAGTCAATGAGGCTAAATTACTTAGTGGCACCATTTGTCCTTTCCAATCTCTTCAGCTAGTTAATCAGATAAGCTGTGTGGTAAGCAATGTATCCAAGCGTGTAGCCACTACATAAATGAGAGGCTAAAGTACAGGTAGAGTTTTATATTATGCTGTTTATTGAGCTTTATTGTCCGTGGCAGTTGTTTAATCCTTAGACCTACAGATCTCCACACTGCTTCATGACTGCTAAGCCAAGGTGACCAAGCAGGAGCCTCGCTTACCCTGGAGCGCGTGAGACTGCTCCAGTGCCAGAGTAACAGCAGAGAATAATTTGCAATAACTTGAGCTATGCGTGGCTGAAGGCTCTAGAAACCCCTTCCCGCAGTGATATGTACTGTGGCAATGATTAGTGGATGGCTTATGGCACTCAGAAGCAGTTGGGTGGTTGGGATGTCCTGCACTACTTGTGCTGCTCAAGCAGACGAAATGTGGAGAATTGGATTTAATTTGATAAGAGTTGATCTGGCAAGTAAAGCTGCATTGAAGCTTGCAGTATAATTTCTGGGAACGCTGCAAAAAGATGGAAAAGACAAATAGCTTTTTGTTTGGCATCTCTGAAATCTAGCTTAGGAGACTGCTTAATGATGTCATTTTTCAAGTAACTTTTTCTTAGGTAATCTAGACCAGACGTGTATTCCTGTTAGAATTTTTAGAGTTCTGCTTAACAATACGTGTTGTTGACTACATCTGATTTTTATGGTTAGAATTTAAAAACAAAGGCAGGGAGAAGTGTCACTGCTTTCTCTACTGGCATGAACGTGATGATAAATCTGTAGAAGTCCATTGATACTTCAGAACTTTCTTTTTGTGAAGCTGTGTAGGAGAGAGTTTAAATCCATTCAGTCCCTTCTACGGCCTATGTGTCTCTGCAGGGCACCAAATTTTTCTTCTTCTTCTTGATTTCTAAATCGCCTCTTCCATTCATTTGGGCCCAGCCCAGCAAATGCAAACTGCTAGCACCTATCCAACTCTGGAATGGTGAACAAGTAACAATACATTTAACAATAGTGCATGTAATTCGGGTAATAACATTTTTGGCACAGGAACAGTTTGCCATTCTGATCTAGGTATCATACGTGGTTTGAATAGCTTCTAAAATGCTGGTATGTTGTAATTTATAGTTAAGGCACTCATCCCTTACTAGCCCAAATAAACCTTAGTTTAGCTTTGTGAGCATGTAATATCTTGAGATAAATTATACAGGCAAGCACTTAATGTGGTCTGACCATTAATTTCTTTGAATGAGAGGTGCTCTCACACTGCAGGAGCACACGAGAGAAATTTGTATTGCGTGGGCGTGTTGTGTAAGAGTGGTATCTCCGAGTCGAATGGGTATATTTTTCCATTGCTATATTGTCTTTTAGTATGGATTGGATAAATCAGTTCTTTCTTGCTTGTGGGAAGGAGAGGAAGGAGAAATGGTCCTGCAGAAGTACGTGGACAGAAATAGTAGAATTCCTCTCAGCAGAGGACGCTCCATAAGCTCATATTTTTAGAACGGGACTTCCTCTATGTGTGTATGTTTGTATCTCTTCTATATTATAAAACATGTAGGTGTTTATAAATAGATCCTTACTCTAAAAGGAGCTACGTTTTAAGGACGCAGTCTTTCCCTCACCGTATGAGGAACAACTGTCTAACATTGTGGAAAGTCTGATCCAGAGGAAATGGCATACAATGAAGTTGGTGAAGTTGGAAACCCCAGGGAATAACAGTCTGTGATACAATACTTTCAAAGCATGGAGCGCACTTGCCATTTTTCAAAGCAACATTTTTAACATCCTAAAGAACAGTAAATGTCAGCCAGTGGATTTGATGTGTTTATAGCTGATTATGTGGGAGTAAGGGATGGAGAGATTTTAGACTTGCAAGAAGAATAGCATTTTGTTGGCAAGAGGAGGAAGGCAGGGCACACTTGTTAAAGGAAGGAAATTCCAGGAAGTGGAAAATAAGGAGATGGAGACTAAGACGGAGAGGAGGCATCCAGAAGTGACAGTTCAAAGGCTGAGGTTGTAATGGAGGTGAAGAGTGAGGAGCTGGTGGGGATGGAGAAGATGGAGAAATACAATGAAAAATGAGTGTCTTTCCTGGTTTATGGCAATGGGTTTCTCTTGTTCCTGCCGCTCCATTAGCTGTTGTGCTGGTAGCTCGTGCTCTTGTTTCCTTCTGCTGTAATGATAGGGTGCGTGGCGTGAGCGTGAGGACCAAGAAGATGAAATTGGAGGCCCAGAGGCCAGGTTCATGCGGGTCCCCTAAGGACTGCAGAAGAGACTCCAACCTGACAGAGGAGGTTGTGAGAGGCTGCTCACATGTTAGGGAGTAATGCCGGCAAGTGATGTGTTTAGAAAATGAAGGAGCATCAGCCAGGTGTAGTTCAAAAGCACAGGAGAGGTACTCGATAAGGTAAATAGTGCAGTTAGCGCACACTGTACATATAAGAAGTCAGAGCCAGCTCACCTTTAGAAGTTAATCGTAACAAATTATCTTAATCCACTTCAGACATTTCCATTAAAAGAGGGCTTGCCATAAAGCGTATCCTGCTGAGCCTTGTTTATTGGTTTGAAAAAAAAAGCTGAACCTTGTTTATTGGTTTGGTTTCTTAACACAGTGTTTTTAACATGCTTAGCATGAGTTATCTGGAATAACTGAACACGTGATTAGAAATAGCCAGGTTTTATTCTTAATGGTACTATTCTAGTTATGTTCTTCCTATATTGCTTTACTTTTAAATTGATTATTAGAATTACTTATTACAGTAATGCCATTATTTAGATTTCAGCAGCTATACTGAGTATGAGTATTTCATAGAGATGAAATGGAGAATTGAGGAAAACCAAAATACACCTTTAGTACGAAGAGAGCTCTGAAAATGAGACCATTTCTGTGCTGCCAGTGTTGTTCCTGTTACTGCCATGCTGTATCATGCAAAGGCTCAGAAAAATGTCGGTAAAATTAACAGCTTGGCATTATATGTGCAGTAAATACTGAAGACCGGCGGCTGGTTGGGACGGGGGGGGAAGTGTTGTTAATGGTGCACTGCCTGGTGTCCCATTATTTTTCTTTGGTTTTATGGCAGTCTAGCTGTTGTAATGATAACGGCTCTTTATCCAATCTCATTAGGTCATCACTTCATGACACTAACTTGGTTTAGATAATTTTTTTTTTTTAAATATGGGCACACTGGAGGGAAAAAAAAAGGAGAGCACTTATTTTTATCAAATCTTACTGGTAATCCAGTGCTGTCCTTTGAGACTTCCTATTTTGTGCCATCAAATGTGCAGTTTGGAGCAAGGTCAGGGCTGAATTTCAAAAAACAAGCGGAGTGGTGTGTAGTCCCTGCGATGAATGCATCTAGTGCACCAAAGTGTCTCATTACATTTGCCAACAGGGTATATATACGGCTGAGCCTTTTTTTTTTAATGCTTTTCCTCATGTTCCTGTTCTTAGGTTTACACATGTGGCAATGCTTATATTATGCTAAATTAGTGAGAAATCCTCTGTTAAGCTTTGTTGTCTGTTTGAGCAGCTCTCTTGCGATGAGTAGATGGACCTGATGTGGCAGAGCTTGTTATTTTAAAGGAAATAAAAAGTAGGAAATCTTATAAAAGAGTTAATAATAAATAATAAATTCATCTAATAAATTCATCTTTGTGTGAGAAAATCTTCCTGGAGAGTTGGGATGACCTACTTCACCTTTTCTTCTTTCCTGCCCCCTCTTCCCCCATGCTGTTTTAGTGCTTCTGAAGATCGTAAATGTGGCTGGTGAGTTACTCACTGAAGTCACGATTTAGCAAATCACCAAAAAATGGAAACATGACCTTCGTTATTACCATGAAACTTAAGTTTGATTTGAGATCGGATGTTTGAAAATTAAAAACAAATTTAGAAAACCTATCCTTCACTTACCCCTACATGTCACATGTACCTCCTAGTTTGAGTTCCACAAGTATCATTGCTAACACCTCTGCAGAAGTGTCACTTAAAAGTTGCAGATTGCTACCGGCACTGAGTTGCTATCCTTTTTATGCTTTTTCAATAGTTTATCATAAGAAAAAAATATCATATACTACAAGGTTTTGGGGTAACTTGAGAAATCAAAATACATCTGTTTGCATATGCAGATTTCTGCAGATGCATTGAAGTTGGCTTTTTGCAATTAGACGAGGAGAGAGAGCAACCGTGAGAGTACGTGCGTTTGCAAGTTGGTATTCTTGCATCATGACAGCGTTGGCATGTGACAGAATGAATCTTTCCTGGGATGATGTTCTTCCAGATGAGGCTCTCCTTGACCTGATGCTTCTCTTTGATGCCAGCTCTCTTCTGCTGACCTCAGAGGGAAGGATGGGACAATTTGAACCTCGAGTCCTTCTGAGCTTGTGGCATTTAGAGTGTAAGGCAGTTTAGATTGAGTTCATTTTGCTAAGCTGTTCATCCATAATGGATCTGTCACAGAGGCTTGACAACATATTTGTATCCATTTTAGACAAGTCCTTGTTGCTTAGCGCTATACCTGTGGAAGTTCCCTGCAGACCACTCAAATTTAATGT